GCCCAGGCCACGCCCAGACCCCGGCGCCACGCCCAGGCCACGCCCAGACCCCGGCGCCACGCCCCCTAACACGCCACGCCCAGACCCCCCACGTACCCCTCTCCCCCGCCCAGGTGCACCCACCCGCGTGGCGGTGGGCGGGGCTTCCCCATTTCCTCCTCCTCCCCGGGCCTCTTGCCAGACTGGACTGGACCGGCCTGGGCTGAGCGCGTTCCCCTCCTCCGCGTCCGGCCTGGCTGAGCCGTCAGCAGCCTGTGACACGGTCAGGTCCTGCCCCAGCTCAAGGCGAGCGCTCTACCGCTTGAGCCTTAGCGCCACTTCCGGTTTTCTGGTAGTTTTCTGGTGGTTGTTGGCGATGAGAATCTCACGGCCTTTCCCGCCCAGGCTGGCTTTGAACCGTGAACCTCAGATCTCAGCCTCCTGAGACGCAGGGATGACAGGCGCGAGCCACCGGTGCCCGGCTTGTGGTAATTTTTTGTGTACCACATTACCTCCTGGTGATACCCACATCAGACCCCTGTTTCCGGATCAGCTCCAAACTTGCCTGGTGAATGCTGTGGAGGACAGGACGCGTGCCTGGCTCTGGATGAGCTGGGTGGCCATCTCTCCAACCAGCCTGTGGGGGGGGGTGCACTCGGGGCTGACAGCCATGCGGGCGGGGCTCCCTGGAACCCCCAGCCAAGAGCTCCATCTCTCCCCACAGGAATCTCATCCACGGGCCTTGCGGCAGCCTACTACAGTGGAGGTAACCCCCCCAACTCCATTTCAGGTGTTTAGAGACCAGGGGAAGCAGTGGCCCAGGAGCATTACAGTGTGGCCTTTGGTGTGGCTGCTTTGCCCGCTCACCTTGCACTAGAGCACCCACCCCACAGCCTGCCGCTCACATCTTAAGGTTGAGGATACCCTGGGTCACGAAATAATTTTGGAAAAGGGCCCTCAAGCATTTACCTGGTGCCCCGCACAGGGAGGGCTCTCCTGTCCAGCCCAGTGGACTCCCAGGCAGAGCTGGCAGAGTGGCCAGGCCAGGCCAGGGGCATAGCTGAGTGCTGGGAGCCAGGGTCAGCCAGGCTTCTGGCCTCCATGCCCTGGGCACAAGTGTGCTGGACAGGTCTCCCATGGGCTGGGCTGGCCAGGCCTCCCGTGGGCTTTCTGCCCCTCCCTGTCACTCACAGCTCACATCCTGCCTCTGTTTACAGACAGTCTGGGATGGAAGCTCTTCTACGTCACAGGCTGCCTGTTTGTAGCTGTGCAGAACCTGGAGGACTGGGAGGTGAGAGCTGCTGACAGGTCCTCCCCACTGACAGGTCCTCCCCACTGACAGATCCTCCCCACTGACAGGTCCTTCCCTGCCGAGCTGACAGGTCCCCCGCCCCCCCCTCGCTGAGCTGACAGATCCCCCCCGCTGAGCTGACAGGTCCTCCCTGCTGACAGGTCCTTCCCCGTTGAGCTGACAGGTCCTCCCCACTGACAGGTCCTCCCCACTGACAGATCCAGATCCTCCGCGCTGAGCTGAGAGGTCGTCCCCCTCCCTCCCCCCCTGCTGAGCTGACAGGTCCTCCCCGCTGAGCTGACAGGTCCTCCCTGCCTTGCCTTTGCCTGGGCCACCCCTGGCTGAGGACTCTCCTCCTTATCTGGCGTCTGCGTGTCTCCGGGGGCAGCCCCCCCCCCCCCGCTGTCCCCGCAGCTGCCTCACCTTCCTTTTTCACTTGGTAGCCTCACTGCTGGCTCAGTTCTGATGCAGAGAGGAGCACCCTGGCCACCACTTTCCCTTGCCCACCCTAATGCCCAGAGCCCGCCCAGGGCCCCATCTGGGGGCTTTGGGGCCAGGCTCTGAGTCCCCTGCTCACTGTCTGGCACGGGCTGGGTGGGAATGAGACCCCGGGGCCCAGGTGTGTGTGGTCAGTGTACGTTGCTTTGCAGGAAGCCATCTTTAACAAGAGCACTGGTAAAGTCGTCTTGAAAACGTTCAGCCTGTACCAAAAGCTGCTGACCCTCCTCAGAGCAGGCCAGGACCAAGGTGAGCTGTGGGAAGTTGGGGTGCTGTGCTGGCCTTGAAAGCCTGGAGGCAGTGTGGGTCCAGGCTGGCACCCCATGTGCTGTGTTCTCTGGGGGCCCTTCCAGGTCGGGCCGCTGGGGTAGGTTGTGGTGCCAGGCAGGCTGCACTACACCACCCAGCAAATGACTCACCAGTACTCTGTCCCTGGTTGGTTTTGCTGGGCCTGCATTTAGGGGCTGGACGATCAGAGGACACCACACCCTGGGGCTGGCTCGGCCACAGGTTAGCGTGCGGTGCACTGCCCTGTGGTGTCTGTGAGACGCATGCTGCCCTGTGGGGTCTGTGGCGTCTGTGATGCACACACCACTCTGGTGGATGGCTACCGCGGTGGAGGTTTGGTGGGTCCTGGGTGGCTGCTCTGGGAGGGGCAGCTTCTGCAGGGCGTGGTCTGTGAGCATGGACTCCTCACCAGAAGACTCCCACCACAGCTCAGGCTGGGAGCTCGCAATGCTGTGCCGGTTGCTGTCCTGCAGTGGGGGTGGCAGGGCAGAGGGCATGGTCTCTGACCTGTGCCCCTCCCCCAGTGGTGGTTCAGCTGAAGGACATTCGTGATGTGAACGTGGAGGAAGAGAAGGTCCGGTACTTTGGGAAGGGCTACATGGTGGTGCTCCGGTTTGCCACAGGCTTTTCCCACCCCCTCACCCAGACCGCGGTCCTGGGCCACCGTAGGTAAGGCTAGCAGTCCCTCCCCACCCCGTCCCCAGCAGGATGACAGGTGACCCGCACTGCCGGCTGACACTCACTGTTGGCTGACACTCACTGCTGGCTGACACTGTCGGCTAACACTCACTGCGGGCTGACACTCACTGTGGGCTGACACTGTAGGCCGACACTGTCGGCTGACACTCACTGCCGGCTGACACTCACTGCCGGCTGACACTCACTGCCGGCTGACACTGTAGGCCGACACTGTCGGCTGACACTCACTGCCGGCTGACACTCACTGCCGGCTGACACTCACTGCCGGCTGACACTCACTGTGGGCTGACACTCACTGCCGGCTGACACACACTGCCGGCTGACACTCACTGTGGGCTGACACTCACTGCCGGCTGACACTCACTGCCGGCTGATACTCACTGTGGGCTGACACTCACTGCGGGCTGACACTCACTGCCGGCTGACACTCACTGCCGGCTGACACTGCACTACTGGCTGACACTGCACTACTGGCTGACACTGCCAGCTGACCCGCACTGCCGGCTGACACTGCCGGCTGACCCGCACTGTTGACCCTCACTGCTGGCTGGTCCGCACTGCCGGCTGACCCCTCAGTGTCTTAGGGCAGTGGGGAGAGGCCACGTGTGTGCAGAACATGAGGAGTTAGAGGAAGGTGCGGGCTCGGGCAGCTGTGCACAGTCCCCACAGGGAAGCATCAGTGTGGACTGGGGTCAGGTGATGGGCACTGGAACAAGGGGCCCAGATGGGTGGGTGCTGCCCTGTGCCAAGGTGACCTCCCTCCTGGTGTTTGCCTCCAGCGATGTAGAAGCCATTGCCAGGCTCATCACCGGCTTCCTGGAGCTGCACCGGCTGGAAAGCCCCTCAGAGCGGTCTCAGAGTAGCGACAGCGAGGCTGATGGCCCCAGCAGCCGGAGCTGACAATTGGGCAGTCACTGCTGACTGACCCACCACGGCTGCGGGAAGAGCTGATGTGTCCCTAGGCCACCCTGGGCAACTGCCTGCCTCTTGCCTATTCATACTGCCTGCTGCCTCCATTCTGAGCACAAGTCCGGACTAGATCTCCATGGCCCAGGCAGGCCTGGCATGTCATGGTTCAGGATACACCGTGGGCTGGACTTCCTCCATCACCCGGGATACACCGTGGGCTGGACTTCCTCCATCACCCGGGATACACCGTGGGCTGCACCTCTTCCACGCCCCAGATGCACATAGTACAGCCAGGACAGAGCGAGGAGCCACCCACCCACCCATGGCGCATGGTACCTGGACTTCCTGTGCTGAGGGGCTGGCTGCAGATAGAACAGGGCGCCTGCATTTGTGGGGGGCCCAGGCTCTGGATAAGTCCGTATGGTCAGTGGAAATCTTCGGATGTCCTGGGTGGACATCCTCAGTGGCCAGGGCTTTCCTGCTGGACACAGCATTTCAGAGGCGGCTTCTCCCCAATGCTAGGGACACGGCTATGCTAACTGCATGGATGGCTCCTTCGGGATGCCTGGACTGTGGGTGGTTGTGGGCTGTAGAAGCCCCCTCAGCCCCCACCTGAATGAAAGGTCACCTCTCCGCATTCTGTGACACCCAAAGACAGGAGCTCTCGTGCAGAAAGCAAGTCTTGGGGATGATGGGGCAGCGTGGTACATGCCTGTCACCCAGCACTGGGGGCTGAGATCCAGAGCTCCTGGTTCACATAGTGACGTCCTGTCTTCAAAGCAGTAGACCCAGCTTTAGCGCACCGTCTACTCCTGGACCCTCTGCGGTACAACCTGCATCCTGAGAGCTGCAGTCCCTGGCCGGCCTCAGGAAGCTTCTATCCTAGCGTGGCTAGGCAGAACTAGAAAGCACTGCCACCCAGACCCAGGTGCCGTGGCTGCCCTGAGATGGTGCCTGGGTGAACACAGCGTCCTGCCCTGGACGCAGCTGCCACCGCCCTGGACCAAAACCGGCCAGTTCTTTCCTTCCTAACACCGTGCGTGGTTCAGTGGCTGGTCAGCGCTGCCCCCAGGGCGGGGAGTAGGTTCTGGGGGTGTGAAGCCCTGCATGGCAGGGCGCTGGTAAAGAAGCCTTTCTGTGGAATACTGCTTCTGTCTTTAATTTTAGAATGAATAAAGCTCAACATGCAGATTGTTAGCAGGCCCCCGTGTGCCTTCCGTGTCTGCTGCCTTCTCCAAAGGTCCTGCTTGCTCTGCGGAGTAGCTGGCCACAGCGGCCTGACACTCAGCAGGAAGCGTTCCTGGGGGGAGGGGGCCACTTCAGCCCAGTACTGCCCAGGATGGTAGCCCAGGCCCAGCCCGCGCCAGGAGGCCCTCAAGGGTCCTGACTTGGACCCCCCCCGGGGCTGTTGGGCAAGGGCTGGGGCGCGGCTGCTTCCTGGAGGTCCTGCAGCAGACTCTGCAGCCGCTGCATGCTGGGGTGCACATTCTCCTCCAGCCACTCCTCCACGGTATCAGGGTAGAAGGCCAGCTGCAGGGCCGCCTCCAGCTGCTGCAGGAGGGTGCGCCACCTGCCCAGGAGCCTGGGGACAGCAGTGACTCTGAGACCCCCTGCCCAGGACTCCTGGACAGCTGTGCTGTGCCCTGCCCACACATCAGGCCTGCTCTGCTCTGGGACCACTGAGCAGGCAAACTGGTCAACGTGTCCCCCGGCTGGCTGGCAGCGTTTCTTGGCATACGAATGGATCCACGCCAGGACAGGGAGGGCTGCCTGGAACTCTTGCCACAAGGGCTCTTGTCTGGGGTCCTCCAGGTGGGCTGATTCCAAAGACTCCCTGGGCTTGCTGGCATACAGAAGATGCCCCGTCTCAGGCTGGGAATCACCTAGCTTCTCGCCAACGTGAAGGCCCACCTTGGTGACCAGTGGCATGTCTGACTCATCTGAGATCCCCGGCTGTCACACCTGGGAAGCTCAGCGCTATCAGGAGGTTCTACTTTGAGGAGACAGGCTGCCCCAGGGGCTGGGCACGAGCTGGGCAGGGCAGGGTGGTTACCTGAGGGCCTCTGGCTGTATGTGCTGGACCATGACAGGGTGGACGCGCTTTCGTCTGCGATGGTAGGGGCTGAACCAGCCAGTGACGTACCTGGAGCAAACCCAGACGGGTGCTTGTGGGCCAGGAGCTGCTGGCAGGTAGCCTCGAGGCTACAGGGCGTCCTGGGTGGAGGTTTCACAGTGACGCTCCCCACAGAACCACCGCGGGCCTGGGGACGGGGCCGCTCACCTGTTCCTCTCCAGCAGTGCGTCCACAGAGCTGCGCAGGTGGAGGCTGACTTGTGTGACCAGGGCGTGGATGTGGCTGCCTGGGAAGGAGCCAGCTCCCTCACTGCCAGAGAGCCTCGGTAAGAACTGTGGTCCTTGGGCTGGGCAGGTGGCTCAGTGGTAGAGCGCTCGCCTAGCATGCATCAAGCCCTGGGTTCCATTCCTCAGTACCACAGAAAAAGCCAGGAGCAGCGCTGGGCTCAAGTGGTAGAGTGCTAGCCTTGAGCAAAAGCAGCTCTGGCAGAGCGCCCAGGTCCTGGGGGATGAGGAGGAGGCGGGGCGGGGGGGGGGCGAGTACCTCACAGCTGTTATCTCCAGGCTGGAAACTCCAAGGAAGTTCTCCACTGACTGCTTAACCTCTTCAGTGAAGCTCCCTGAAGCAACCACCGGGGAGCTGCTGGAGGGGAGGGGAGCGGCCCCGCCGAGCCCCGCCGAGCCCCGCCGAGCCCCCCAGGGCTCCCTGGGCAGGCAGCCGCCGAAGCAGCGTGGGCCTCCTCAGACAGGCCCAGACCTGGTCCTGACCCCGGGAGGCCTTGGGGTGGACCAGCCCTGTGTGCATTCATTACAGGACCACCTCCACCAGCCCTGCCCGTGGTCCTGCAGGTCTCTGGCTCATGTGCACGCTGCTTCCAAGCGTCACGCGGCAGTGGAACATTCTAGACCACCTGAAGCATGTGGTAAGACTGAGGGAGCAGGGCAGCCGTACCTCCGACGGGCTAGGAGGAAAGGGGGGGCTCTACGGCGGCCTCTGCGCGCGGACGGGGGCTGTCCTCCCCAGTGGTGGACAGGGCGTCCACGTCTGCTCACCCAGCCCCCCCGTGCTCTACCCTCTCTCAGCATCCTCTCCCACCGACAAACACGTCACTGGAGATACAGCACGGCCTTGTGGGTTGAATGGACGTGACTCCTTTTTACCAACATTGGCCTTGAGCTGCCCCAGTGCCAGTCTGCAGGAGGTAGGGGCTGCCCTGATAAGGAACCCCGGGCCGAGGGCCTCCAGGTCCCCTGGGACCCGTCTCTCGACAGGGCAACTATGCAGCACCTCCACCCCAGGCTGAATCTGTGTCCACCAAGGCGGAGGGGCAGACCCCGGCTTGGCCTACCTAGGACTTAGACTAGAGGACCTGGGTATGGGCAGGCCTGGCCAAGGGCAGGTGAGCGCAGTGGCTGGGCTCGTGTGCTTGACTGCACAGAACAGCTTGCGGCAGACGTGGGCCGGAGCGCGGTCCTGGGGATCTGCCTACCGTGGAGAAGCAGCTGCAGACAGGCAGCCAGGGACGGGATCGCCACGGGAAGCAGCTCGCACAGCACGGAGAAGTGGTCGTATCTGTGGTGCGAGAGCGGTTTTCAGTTCCCGGGCCGGGGGCTCAGGTGCTGTCAGCACCATCAGGCCTGGCCTGGCCCTCATCGCGGGCAGCTCCTGGGCCAAGAGCCTGTGCAGTGTCACTGCGCTCTCCTGCCACGCCCTGCCTCTTGCCTCAACCCTGGCGCCCTTTTCCTAGGCCTGTCCCCGCTGTCCACAGCTTCACACTCCCCTAAGGCCTCAGGAAGAGCAGGTCAGGGTGGGGGTCTGGGCACCTACCCCCGCCCGGGCCTCACTCCCCCCAACTCTAAGAACAAGTGGAAGCTGGGCACCAGTGGCTCATGCCTAATCCTAGCTACTCAGGAAGCTAAGATTTGGAGGAAATCAAAGCCAACCTAGATAGAAAGGTCCACTAGACTCCATCTCCAAAATAACCAGCCAAAAGCCAGGCTAGAGGTGCAGCTCAAGTGGTAGAGTACCACCTATGTGCAAGTCAAGCAAAAGCCGAGTTCAAAACCCAGTACTGGGGTTTGAAAAAAAGGAGCAAGCGGAGAGTCGGGTGACCAGGTGTGGCGGGCAGTGACATCACGGAGGCACTGCCACACCCTTCACAGAATCCTACACGTGGGGAGGGCTCTGGTCTGCAAGGGCGGCCTGGGCTCACCGGACGCAGGCAGCCCAGAGGGCCCAGCCCCTCCGCCCCATCTTGGGAGACCCTGGTAGCCCCCGAAGGGTTCCTTCCCACAGGGCTCTGGAGCTGCTGGACAGGCAAGGGGGAGCCAAAGACCAGACACGAGTACAGATGTAGGGCTGTGGTGTAATAACCAAGAAGAGCTCAGATCTGCCAGTGGCCTGCAGAGGTACGCAAGGCACCAGCCTGGAGCGTGGAGCACACAGGCAGGTGGAGCTGCAGGCAGCATGCGGACGCCCCGACGCACCCAGAGCCGCGCTCTCCTCACAGGCAGGAGGGCAGCCCCCCGTCCTCTCTGAGCTCACCTCTGCCAGCCGGTCAGGACGATGCCCTGCAGCATGTCCGCGGGCCCGCTGCCAGCCACCCGCAGCCACTGCTCGTGGTTCCGGAGGTGGTGCTCCACAGGCGGCAGGGCCTGGCTGGGCCCCGTGGCCCCCTTGAAGGCGCTGGCTGCCCACAGCCGTGAGAAGCCGCATTCCCGGTACTTTTCCATGAGAAGCACTGGACAGGAAGGTAAGCAGGTGAGTCTCCCGAGGACATGGCCAGCCACACTGGGCACGTGAGCTCTGACCCCTGGGGCAGTCTCTGTCCCCCTCCCCTGCCTGGCCCACACCCAGCCCAGGAGACTCTGCCATTTACATGCCTGGCAGAACTGTGAGGCAAGCACACATTCTGCCCAGGGCCGGCATGGCGTCCCGGGTCCGCCTGGGGCCGGCGTGGCGTCCTGGGGCTGCCCAGGTCCAGAGTGGTGGGGGCTTCCCGCCGTGGGAGGGGCAGGGCAGCTCAGGCCAGGGGGCTGTCCCTGGCTTAACTAAATCCTGCTGGCCAGCCCAGCGCAGGCCCAGGCTGGGAGACGGCCTACCAGCCACATGGGCCTTGAAGGGCGAATCTGGACGACCCGTACTGACCCTTGCCGTGGATGTCCAGGTCAGCCCCGTAGTCCCAGAGCACAGGCTCCACCAGCTGCGGCACTCCGGAGGCTGGAACAGAGTGAGGCTGTGCGCAGGGCCGACGGGACCCTGCACGCCGTGGAGCTGGCCCAGCTCCTGGGTCCCTCTTGTATCTCGCGTTCGGTTTTGTAGACTAGCATTAGGCTTAAACTCGGCCTGGACGCCGTCTTCTAGTGTTTTTCACCTTGTCCTTTAGTTTCACTGTCCTTTAGTTGTAGTTTTTTTGTTTTTTCCTACTGCTTGATCTACAGCTCCACTTCTGGAGTCTCAATGACTTTCTTCCCTAGGCTGACCTTGAACCATGATCCTCAAATCTCAGCCTGCTGAGGAGCTAGCCACTGGTGTCCGACTTTCTTATTTTTAGTATGTATGTACGTACATGTCTGTTGTTCCTGGGGCTTGAATACAGGGCCTGGGCTCTGTCCCTGAGTGTTTTTGTTCAAGGCTAGCGCTCTACCATTTTATTTTGGGTCCGGTCGTGGGGCCTGAACTCTGGGCCTGGGCGCTGTCCCTCAGCTCTTCAGCTCAAGGCGAGCGCTCTACCACTTGAGCCACAGCGCCACTTCCCGCTTTTTTCTTTTTGCTTATGTGGTGCTGAGGAATCGAACCCAGGGCCTCAGGTATGCAAGGCAAGCGCCCTACCACTGAGCCACCTTCCCAGCCCCGCTCTACCATTTTGAGCCACAGCTCTGCTTCCAGTTTAGGTGGTTAATTGGAGGCCTCATGAACTTTCTTGCCTGAGCAGCCTCCTGCTAGCTGGGGTCACAGGTGTGAGCCTTCTGCACCTGGCTTCTAACTTATCTGAGACAGGGTTTGATAAGCAGCCCAGGCTGCCTAGAGCCTAAGCCAAGGCCCTTCTGCCTTGGCCTTCTGCCGGGTCCCAATGGCTCTTAGCATTGACACAGGCCATCTTCTCAGGTCACACGGTCCCCCGTACAGGCTCAGTGCTGGGCTGCGTTGGGCCATGAGCGCCATGGCCGGCCGGAACAATGCTTTGGAAGGGGCTGGGCTCTAGGATCTCCTGAAGCATCTGCTCCCACTTGGGCTCCCAGAGCTCATGTACCTGGAGTGCATTCTAGTGCATCAGTCTGCAAGACTCTGCCTGGAGGACAGTGCCCCTGGGCCCCAGGCCCCGTGCTGGTCCCAGCGCTCTGCACGGGGCCATGGAGTGCTTCCTGCAGCCTCCAGACTGGGGAGGGCTCTCATCCCCGCTCCCCAAGCTTTTCCTGGGGACCTGGGCCTAGGTCCTGGGTGGCACTGGCCACCACTGTCCCTTACCACACAGCTGCCCTTTGCCCATGCCCAGACAGGCCCGGAGGACACGCAGGGCGGAGGCTGCCAGAAGTAGGGGGAACACCCGCGTTTCAGCCCACCCCCGCAGGCCCCGCCTACCTGCCAGCTGGTCCCCAGGCACGTCCCGCAGCATGTCATCCCACACCAGGGCCGTGGTGCCAGGGTGCCGCGCTTGCACATGGCTGGCCACCGCCCGCATGTGGGACAGACACAGCTGCTCGGGGCTGTTCTGCCTCTGCTGCAGCCACTGCCTGGAGGCCTCCCCCTCGCCCAGGTAGTAGACCTGGGGGAAGACGGGTGGGCTGGAACCCGTGCCATGCTGCACATGCCGGGTCCCAGGTGTGTCCTGAGTCCTGTGGGGGGGGCTCCGTCCTGGGAGGCTGTGTTTGTGGGGGGCCTCAGTCCTGGGAGGCCGTTGGGGGGGGCTCAGTCCTGGGAGGCTGTTTGTGTATGGGGGGGGCTCCGTCCTGGGAGGCTGTGTTTGTGGGGGGCCTCAGTCCTGGGAGGCCGTTTGTGTATGGGGGGGGGCTCAGTCCTGGGAGGCTGTTTGTGTGGGGAAGGCAGGAGGCTGCTCAGTCCTGGGAGGCCGTTTGTGT